TTTAGTAAATTTATTTCTCTTATTACTCTGTCCTCATACGGAACCTCTCTCTCTCAATTCTCTTCATCGATCTCATGGACGGCGATTGCTCTCATCTCTCGTCTATTCGTCTCTAGGTAATTCTATGGCGGAACAAATTCGATTATAGCTTACTAATATTTTACTGATTTCGCTTTTTTCCGAACTGTTTCCGATCACTCTTTGTACATATATATGCATTAGGAGTTTATTTTACATGAAATTTAGTTTTGTTTTTGGAGAATCTAGAATTCGGTTATGATTTTTTCTAATTGAATTGATTTTTTGGTAAATAATTTGATTCTTATTTTTGTTCATGCTAATCTGTTGTCGTTATTGAATTGAAGTTATAAATCTGACTGCACATTGGTAGAAGATTATCCATTGTAGCATATATGTGTATATCTACCAAGTGTTTGTCATAATGTTTCAATTATAAATGATACTACGTATAATTTCACTTCACTTGGGAAGAATGTACTGTTATTTTATAACCATATGAATACATGAGCTTGATATTGTTTTTTAATGGATGCTGAGCTTGATATTGTTAGATTTGATTCTATTTAATTTCAATATTTGATTAGTTTAACGTTGAACTTAGTTGCCATGAGTCCCAACAACATCATCATCATCGTCCGAGTATTACTAGGAGTCTCACTTTAATATAATTAGACTCCTTTAAATAAACTTATTATATGTAAGAAGGTTGAATTGGTCTTAGAACCAACAGTGTTGGTTGAAATGCTTATATGTATTATATGTAAAAGGTCTTCATTTGTTAGGACTATAGTGATTATTTATTTCCCAGTAATATATTAAGACATTAGATTCATATTGTCAATTTTAAGGTTCAATTCATATTTTGTTTCAATATTGATTCGGATGAGTGTTTTATGCAACCCTTCTTATTGATGATAGAGAAACATGTGGATCCAATGTATGGAGTGGCTTTTTTACTCAAAGTTTGCATTTCAGATGGGCTGAAAAGTACATTTAAAATTGAAAAGTGAGAAGTTATGTGAACCAAGGGACCATTGCATATTTTGACTTATTTTAAATTATACTCCGTACTAGTAATATATTTTGGATTTTTTGCTACTTCTGATTTGTGTTGATTATTGTAAGATTTTAGAGATTTAGGTCAAGATGGATTGAATTCCATCTTAGACATTGAGATATATGAGAGAATAAAGTAAATGTTTGCTGAAAAGTATATTTTATTGATTAGCAAAGCATTGCCTTATAAAGGCATTACAATAGATAAGGTAGGAGAAGAGCCAATGAATCTAGACTAATTTTAAATAAAATAAGGGAAGTACAATGATAAGCAAATGATTGACTGAATGGTTGCTGCCACTAGCTGTTCCAAACCGTTGGAAAAGAACCCATATGTCGCCAGCTCACCTTGATATTTTATTTGTTTTAATACTCCCCCTCATGCTTAGAATTTGGAATCACCCGAGAAATCTAAGCTTGGAAGAGAATCCAATAGTATCACCTCGTTAAAAACCTTAATGTGGAAAACCACGTGGGACAAAAGCATATTAAGGGAAAAAGAGTATGACACTACTGGATTAGGGGATATTTGATCAATGAGGCAATGTCAAGTCCACAAGTCCAAGTTTTGCACAATTGTGATTGCAAACCTTGATACTTGCAGCCTTGGTGAAGATGTCCGCGAGCTGATCCTCACTCCTTGTGTAGCACGGGAGAATGACTCCTTCTTCTATCTTCTCTCGAACCTTGTGGCAGTCTATCTCGATGTGCTTAGTCCTTTCATGAAACACGGAGTTGGTGGCGATGTGTATAGCAGCTTGATTGTCACAGTGAAAGGTGATAGGATGATCTTGTTCTATTCCGAAGTCTTTGAGAAGCGTTTTGACCTAAGTCAATTCATTAGTTAGCTTCCTCATTGCTCTATACTCTGCCTCTGCACTTGAACAGGAGACCACTTTCTGCTTCTTTGTCTTCCAAGTAACCAAGTTTCCCCCAATAAATGTGCAGAAACCCGTAGTAGATTTCCTGTCAATCCTGTCCCCTGCCCAATCTGCATCACAATACCCAACAATCTCTGTGTTCCCATTCCTTCCCATCCAAATTCCTCTGCCCGGAGATCCTTTTATGTATCTCAAGATCCTCTCTACCATAGACCAGTGATAAACTGAGGGTTCCTTCATGTGTTGGCTGACTTGATTAACCGCAAAGCAAAGATCTTACCGAGTGAGTGTAAGGTAGATAAGTTTACCGACGAGTCTTCTGTACAGTCCTACATCCGCAAGCTTCTCCTCACTTTTCTCCCCATTTCCATTGACCTTGTAGCCATCCTCAAGAGGTGTCTTAACAGCCTTACAACCGAGTTTACCTGTTTCAACCAAGAGGTCAAGAGCATACTTCCTCTGAGAAAGGAATAAGCCATCAGAGGATCTATATACTTCAAGACCAAGAAAGTACTTCAACTCACCAAGATCCTTGATGTCAAAAGCCTTCTTTAAGAGTTCCTTTGTTGATTTTATACCTTCGTCATCATCCCCGGTAATGATCAAGTCGTCAACATAAACCAAGATAACAACTAGGTCGTGGGATGATTTGAGCGTGAAGAGAGTATTATCAGAGTGAGACCTCTTAAATCCATTATCCATCAAAGTAGAACTCAACTTATGATACCAAGCTCTTGGTGATTGTTTCAAACCATATATAGCCTTCCTTAGCCTTAATGCTTGTCCGGGTTTACATAAGTCTTCAAGTCCGGGAGGTGGAACCATATATACTTCTTCCTCGAGTTCTCCTTGAAGAAATGCATTCCTCACATCCATTTGCCACAAGTTCCATGATAGCTTACTGGCCAAAGAAAGCACAACTCTGACAGTGTTGAGTTTAGCTACGGGAGCAAATGTATCCTTGTAGTCTTTGCCATATGTCTGAGAGAATCCCCAAGCAACTAAGCGAGCCTTGTATCTTTCAATGTCCCCATTACTCTTGTACTTGATGGTGAACACCCATCTAGATGTAACTGCTTTCCTGCCTTTGGGCAGATCCTCAACATCCCAAGTATGATTCCTTTCCATTGCTCCTCTTTCATCACCAATTGCATCTACCCACACTTTCTTGTCTTTGGCTTCTTCATAGCTATTAGGAATTTGATTTTCTTCAATCTTCAGAAGAAAGACTTGATGAGCTTTCGGCAGAAGGTCAATGGAACACACACTTTGTATAGGATGAACAACTGCTTGATTAATGTAGTATCTAGGATTCCTGAACTTGAGTCTAGTACTTCTTCTCAAGGATTGAACTGGATCAACTTCTGTATCTTTAACCATTTCCCTTTCCTCTTGTTGAGTATGTCCTTCTTGATCTACTGAGTCTTCTTGACTTGTATTTTGAAGTGGCTCTTCCTCTTGAGTTTGAGATGATTCTTGGGTAGCCGAGGGTTGTTCTTCTTCTTGAGTATCTCCATTACCATCTTGATTTGATGGAGTATCATCCTGACTTGAATCCTTAGTCTTATTATTTCCCAAATGATCCAGCAAAAACCGAAGACTGGATGCTAGATCTGATGGCCTTGATAGTTCCTCCCGGCTCTCTCTCTTTCTTGTCATAATACCCTTGATCTTCTATGAATTTCACATCTCGAGACACAAAAGTCTTGCTTGTAGATGGATCATAGCATTTATACCCCTTTTGAGTAGTCGAGTATCCAAGAAAGATACATCTAATGCTCTTAGCCTCCAATTTGTTTCGTTGTTCACCTGGAATATACACAAAGCACACACATCCAAACACTCTTAGGTGATCAATAGAGGGTTTAGTTCGATTTAGTACCTCAAATGGAGATGAATCTTGTAAGATTCTTGTTGGAATACGGTTAATAAGATAACATGAAGCTAAGACCGCATCTCCCCAGAACCTCTTTGGAACATTAGATTGAAACATCATAGTTCTTGCCACTTCCATAAGATGTCGGTTCAATCTTTCCGCCACTCCATTTTGTTGAGATGTGTGTGGACAACTAGTTTGGTGCAATATTCCATGCTTTTTGAGATGATCCTTGAATCTTTCACTTGTGTATTCTCCACCATTATCGGACCTAAACACTTTAATCTTAGCATTGAATTGATTAATAACATAGTTATGGAAATTCACAAATGCTTCATAGACTCTATCTTTGGATGGAAGCAAAGTAACCCATGCATACTTAGACTTTTCATCTATGAATGTTACAAAATACTTGTGCCTATCTCTAGATATGCATGGTGAAGTCCAAACATCGGAATGTACTAAGTCAAAACAATTCTCGTAGATAGTAGATGACTTTGGGAATACAACTCTACAGTGTTTTCCAAGAATACATGCTTCACAAGCAGAATGATCATCGAAAGCATTAGGTAACATTAAATTCAAAGCACGAGAGTGAGGGTGACCTAATCTAGCATGCCACAGTACACTTTTATTAGAAGAAGAAAGACAAGATTTAAAAGCTAAGGAATCCAAATGACTTGAAGATGCATGGTTGAGAACATAGAGCTCATCCTCAGTCCCTCCTTTGCCCAAGATTCTGCCATTCTCAATAGCCTGAAACTTAACATCATTAGGACTAAAGATAACGTTGCAATTGAGATCATTAGTTGCTCTTTTCAGAGAAACTAAGTTAGATTTGAACTTAGGAATGTAGAAAGCATCACTCTTTTTATCAAATAGCTTCAATTTCCCAGTTCCTTCTATAGGAATCCCATTTCCATTGACTATCTTAACCTTTCCTATATTCTTATGATCTAAGTTCTCCAACAACTTAGCATTTCTAATCATGTGATGAGAAGCTCCTGAATCTACAACTAGTTTATTATCACAGTTAGCATTTAAATTTGATGTTAAGTAAGAGATACCAAGTTTGGAGGCATAAGCCTTGATGAGAGCTTCCAATTCGCTCTTCTTTACATACTCCATTGAAGCATGTAAGGCCAATTCAGGATCTTTGTGTGAACTCTCGGCCTGCTCTCCTTCTTGAGCAAAGTTGGCAGCTTTCATCTCTTTGAATTTTGCCGGTTTCAAGTGAGGATGAAGTATCCAACATTTATCCTTGAAATGGCCTTTCTTGTGACAGTGTTCACACACCATGAGCCGTCGATCCTCTTGCTTGAATACACCCTTATTTGCCGTCACTAACTCCTTCTTCCCATCAAACAATCCGATTGATCCCTCTTCCTTTTGAACTCTTGAGCATACTTCTTCAAAGCTTGGAAGCTTAGATTCTCTTAGAATAGCCTTGATAACACCATTGTAGCTTGAGTTCAAATTGAGAAGTAATCCGAATGTCTTGTCTTGCTCTCTTCTTTCATTTAGTACCTTAGGGTCTATAGAACTTGGCCTTAATGTATCAAGTTCACTCCATAAGGACTGGAACTTCCCAAGATACTTCTTAAAGTCTAATTCATCTTGATTTAGCTCACTGATAGCTTTCTTAATCTCATAGATGCGACTAAGATTGGATACATCACCATAGACTCTTTTAAGAGTGTCCCAAAGGGCCTTAGCCGTTTCACAATAAGAGTAAGCTTCGAGTATAGATGGTTCCAAACTGTTTTGAAGAAATCCGAGCACAAGTTGATCTTCTTGAAACCATTTTGCATCCTCCTTCTTAGCCTCTTCATCCCTCTTGTGTTTACCTGAATCATCTACACTTCTTTCTTCTAAAATGTGATCCCAAAGCCCTTTTCCACAAATAGAAATTTTGATGGTCCTTGACCAAAGAGTGTAGTTAGATCCCTTGAGGATTACCGAAATAACAGTTGGCTTGATACTCGAACCTCCTTGAATCATGTCTTCCATGATAAAGTCTCAATCTTCAGAAGAAAAAAAAATATGAACTGACCGAGCATAAACCAGATGAAAAGCTCCGATCTTGCAGCGGAAGTATAAGAAAAAAAAAGTGTTCTTCGCAGCGGAATAATGAAGAAAGAAGAGTGAAATAAAAAAACAAAATCTTTGAAGTTTTGTAACCTGTCTTCGATACCATGTAAGATTTTAGAGATTTAGGTCAAGATGGATTGAATTCCATCTTAGACATTGAGATATATGAGAGAACAAAGTAAATGTTTGCTGAAAAGTATATTTTATTGATTAGCAAAGCATTGCCTTATAAAGGCATTACAATAGATAAGGTAGGAGAAGAGCCAATGAATCTAGACTAATTTTAAATAAAATAAGGGAAGTACAATGATAAGCAAATGATTGACTGAATGGTTGCTGCCACTAGCTGTTCCAAACCGTTGGAAAAGAACTCATATGTCGCCAGCTCACCTTGATATTTTATTTGTTTTAATAATTATTTGGTCTTTTGTTGGCTCTAAGTTGCTGAAATTGATGTTTTAGTTTTAATTTAGCTTTCACACAGTGTTTATATCAAGGCTATTAGCTCAACTGGTAGAGCAATATGCATATTTGCATGAATGTGCGGGTTCGAGCCCCCCATAGCCTACTCTGCAGATTATTACAAGATGAATGATCATGACTTACTATTGCCTACTCACATATCATCTTTTAGTTTTCCAAACCAAGTACTAAGCTTCTTTGCATCAGACTCTTTGTATTGTAGCTTCTTTGCATGCATTTCTGTTTGACATTACAGGGGCAAGTCCCTTACTGTTTTGGTTATTTTAGGCCTTTTTTGTGGATTGAGCAATAAGTTGCTAGTTTTCGCTTTTGTTTGATTTGTGTTCAGGGGAACGGAAATATCGTCTGTAGGTTTATTCCTCCCGCACCCATACTCTAGTCAGGTCAGATTACGCTTTCTTGGAACTCATTCATATGTCTTAGTAATCTTTATCGGGAAGGTATAAAAGATTTTTATTGGAAGGTTTTAGCTGCAGTGAATGAAGATTTCTTCTGGTGCGGGAAAAGGGCTATCTTTCGTTCCTCTCGCTTTGCCCAAGCCAACCTGGTGGTCTATGGCTGACCGATATGGCACACCACATTTAGTTGTTGCTATTATTTTCCTTATGGCGGGGCATATGTATCGTACCAACTGGGGCATTAGTCATGGACTAAAAGATATTTTAGACGCTCATAAGGGTTGGGCCTAGTTCTTTTTCCCCGTCGGAATGGGAAACTGCTTGACTCTTTTTGGCTGATGTCGTACTAGGGACTGGCCCGGCAGTCGATCTAGCTCTGGGAGTCTCGTCGCCGTCCTGAATTGGTTTATTAGTGACTCTCAGTCAATCATTACTAAGGCGCAGGGATTGCTCTTGGATTTTTTGCACTTTCTAGCTAAGTGATAATCATGTAATTTCCATGTGTATGTTTGTATTTTTAATTAGTTTTGATTGATTTTTACTTTGGAAATTACACACTTTTGGTGTAATAGTTTAGTTTGTTAAATTCTTGTAAATTGTTTAGATTAGGTTCATTCTGAGCTCAAACAGGACTTGTTCACTCAAAGGATAGTTGGTGAACCCTGAAAGTGGAAGAAAGGTGCATAATCTCAAGACAAAAAAAGGATCCTGAATTTTTGGTCTATACCCGGTCGGGTATCATCTATACTCGATCGGGTATCTTGTTGAAACTTCAAATCGGATCGGATCCGAAGACAAAGGAACATGCAGGGAAGATTTTGACCACGATCGAATGTCTATACCCGATCGGGTAGACCAACATACCCGATCGGGTATACCTTTGAGTTTAACCCCAAATCCGATCGAGTATAGCTTGAATATCATTTTCTACACATACTCGATCGGGTATAAAAACACACCCGATCGGGTATACCTATAGAACATAGCCCATAATCGATCAACTATACCTCGAATCTGGCATTTCACACATACCCGATCGGGTACCGTGTAGATACCCGATCGGGTACCCGAGCTGCATCCCAAGAGCCTATAAATACACCCCCTTTCCTTCACAATGAAAAAACCAACTCCTATATACTTCTAAGCTCAGTCTAGAATATTTCTTTCTTTATATTTTCTTCATGTTTAGTCTTCAAATGAGGAGCTAAACTCTTCCATCTTGGTTTTGCTACTTTGAAGCTTAATGATTTGTAAGTTGTGAGTTATTTTCTTTAACCTTCTTCCTTGAATATTAATTACTTCCTATTCATATTCCATATTAATATTTTGAGCATTACTTTAAAGATCAACTAGTTTTGTTTCATCTATTAATTATTACTAGAATCAATCGGTTAATACGCTTGTTATTAATTCGGTTCCTTCAAAGGTAGTAAACTTGGATTGTTAATGCATGCATCTCATTGTTAATAAACCAAGGGGAATTAATTATATTGATTAAACCAATAAACCACTTGTGTTGAGGTTATCAATCTCAATCGTTTTCATCTTAAACTTATTGCTACTATCGAATTAATATACGGCGCTTGTTCTATATTGACTCGATGGTATGTTTTATTAATGAACGCATCTCGTTATTAATAACTACCCTCGATGAACTGGATATACTCCTCGATTGAGTATTCGAGAGGAAGATAGTTAAAGATATAATCGGGATCGATGAACATTTCATTAAGTGAATAAAAGCAAAACCAAGTCCTAATCTATATTAATTAACCTCATTTAAGTCATTCATCTTAGTGTTAATTAAATTAATTCTAATCAAACTCAAAAACCCCCTTTTTGTTACTGTTATTATAAAAGATATACATTCCTTTCCCTGTGGATACGAACCTTACTGCGTTATACTACGTATATTCGTTGTATTGTATTTATTTTGAGTGCACCTCACGACAAGTGCACGTCACTGAGCCAGATTGATTCTTATTTCATTGATAGAACCCTGCTAGTCCAATCCTCACTTTCCATTCCTAGGGTTATTGAATACTTTACTTCAATTGGCAGTGGTGCATATTGTGGTTGTTTTAATACTTGTGTCAGCCTTGCACCTCTATTGAGTAATGCCTGAGTCGCTGCATCAAGGTCTGAGCCAAATTGAGCAAAGGCGACCACTTCTTTTTCGGTACATTCACCCCTGCTGTAGCATCTGATGCTTGTCTCGATTCGGTAAGCTAAGCATTATATTCTAAAAGCTCGGTTTTCAAGGTGAATGAAAGAGCCTGGAGTATGCCCCTATGTGTTTGTAACTGACAATTTTGGAATGAGTTAATATGTACATTTTACCTTTAGCGATATGCATATGAGTTTTGGAGTCCATGGTTAGCTCGAAAGAGAGGCCAAATTAGGTCGTTGGCTGTACGAAATGAAAGTCAAATCTCTCACTAGTAACTGGACTGCAGTACCATGAAGCTTCTGGAAAAGAACTCAAAGCAATAAAGGCAACGAATAAGAATAAAAGGATGTAATTTGGTTAAAATAGACTATTAAGTAATAGCTAAGGTAGATACATGTTCTATTAGATTCTACACTTGAACTAAATGGAGCATCTACATGAAATAGCCTATGTGAGATTCGAACTCACATCTTTCGTGCAGTCACACGATACTCTTCCAGTTGAGCTAATAGGCTGTAAGAATAATATGTAATTTTCCATTTTAAAAAGTTATCACATTGTGTTTAAAAGTTGATCATTTCGATTTATTAGTCATTTTAGTTATTGCTCTAAAGTTGCTAGCACTGACCGGTTGTTGATTTTGATATGTAACTTGTCATTTTTAAAGCAAATAGAGCTAGTATTATAAAAGGTCTATTCTGAATCAAATTGCTGCAACTTTTAAGATAAATTAGATTCCAAGTCAGTATTTGAATTAAGACTCCAGTCTCCACAAAATACTTCTACATGATATGTACATGCATTATAACTTCATCTTGTTCCATTCACATACATGCCTCCAAAAGTAGATTCGACACATACTTTTTCCCCCTAAAAAGCATCAAATCTATTTCTCAAAATATAACACATGCATCCAAAGGTATCACGTACCAGCATTATTAAAGTGATTGAAAATTTAGTAAGAACAATATTGTTACTTGTAAGAGGAACCAACATCAGCTTCACACTCAGCGTCAAACACCTCTAGAGATTAGACACACACTAATATAACAAAAATAACAACTTTTATAAAGTATATCATAACTTGTAAGTTAACCGCTAGAAAATGATAGTTAAAAGTATCACAATCAGCAAGAAAATGAATGCGGAATTATACAATAAAATGAAAAGTAATGACATGAATAAATTACAAAAAATGAAATTACTAAATTATTACCATGTTGGCCATCATTATATGGATCATCTCATTTTGCCTCACTTTCTCATACTTGTGGTCCTCATCAATAAAGGTAAAAAAGAACCATTTTCAGAACACACAAATAAAATAGAATCATAACTTTTAACAGGAAATTCTCAACTTATAAATTATATCTTTTAATAAATTATTCATAACTTTTAATAAAATATTCATAACTTTTAATAACATATTCATAACTTTTATTATAAGTAGGTGCAGTCCCGCCAGTCCCACCTGTAACTGTTAATCCTTACCAAAAATTGTCAATATAGAGAAGCTTGAAACGGCAAATGCATCAACTCACACTTTCTCAATGTCATTAATAAATTAAATAATTTCTTCGTTTTGTTCCAAAAAAAAGAGATAAAGTAAATAATTATTTTATCGTAAGTGTTTACAATCTACAATTCTATTGAGAGAGGTCTAAGAAACCATTACTTTTACTCAAATTCCTATAACTCGTAAACCCAAAAACGTAACTTTTAAACCCAAAGACTTAACTTTTACTAAGACTCTCAAGACCTTTAAAACCATGAATATAACTTATAATCCAAGAAGCATAACTTTTAAATCAAAGGATAACTTTTACTAAAAATGTTAAGACCTCTAAAACTTAAGGTCTTATACGCACTTTTTTTATAAAAAAGTAATTTAGGAATTACTATAAATTTTAAATCAAAACGTACAACTTTTACTAAAAACCTAAGATCTCCACAACCTAAGAACTTACTATATACGAAGTATGTATCATTTTTTAAAACCAATGTTCAATATCCACCAGCATCCTTCTATCTCTCAGAAGGTTGGTTACCAGATATACATTGGATAATTGCTTCTCAAAATGTTGTAGCCTTATATTGGGGAGCGCAAAATCTTGTAGTCTATGAAAAAGGAAGAATAGAAACTGCACTAATGCAGGATTACAGTTATCCAAACCTTCAAGGATCAATCTATGATAGCTGAAAATGCTTCACCAGTGTTTGTGCAGGCTCCCGGAGAAAAAAATATTGCAGATTTTGCTATTGGCTTTCTCATGGGTGGAATTCTTGTAACAGTTTCCAACACTGCAGCTGCCCCTATTGAGCAAGTTAAACTTTTGATACTTACAAATGGTGTTGGACTTGCTTCGCATCCAATCAATACTTACTATATACATCAAAGTGTAGATATATATTATGAAAGTAAAAATCTAAACTTTGAAAAGAACATTAACATAATTTTTCATTGAGACATTTCAACAAACAGATGGTAGGTGGAACATAAAATTATATCTGTAAATCAAACAAGACTGCATATATATGAATACATTTGAAAAACCACATACTTACTCAAGATGACATCCATGATTTTCTATCTTATTTTTACAACCAGGCACATAATTTTCCAGTTCTTGTGTTATAATTCATAAATAACCTAATTATATAACTTTAATAACTGCTTCTCACTTTATTATAATCGTCTTCAACAAATCCGAATGAAAACCTACTAGTTAACCTAAATTAGTGACTTGGAATGTAATTTGAAATTGGTTGAAACAAGTACGAATTGAATCAAAGTTTATAGAATTTGTAAAATAACCTTTGGAGTTGCAAGCCGAAGTTCGTAGAAGTTTTGTGGTTCGTCGTTGTGCGATTGAACTGTTGCACTTCATCGGAGGTTTTGCGGATCATCATTGTGTGATTGAACTTCGCCAGTGTTATTGCAATTATCCTCATTGCACGATTGACCTCGCTAGTGTTATTGCGATTATCAACATTGCGCGATTACACTTCGTAGGAGTTTTTAGGAAGATGCTCTGTCGCCGTTGTAGTTGCAGAGACAAGTCCGTGCGTAGAAATAAATTAGCGGTATTCTAGAATAGTAGAATGCCGTATAGTTATATGGAAGATGCTCTGTCCTAGCAATTTTTAAATTAGGCCGATGATTAACTTTTAATCAGACGGCACATACATATAAATTCATTTATTTGTAGTAATTATTTTTTAAATAGAAATTGTCCGGAATATGAGTAAAAACGTTTTGAAATTTCAAAATATGACCTTCATGTTTTTATTCCCTAAATAGGAGTAATATGTGTCAACTGTCAAGTTTGAAAAAATTGGCAGAAACTGTCATGTTTAAAGCCTGATAATGTAAAATTTGACAAAAATTACTCTTGTTTAGAGAATAAAATTATGGCGGTCCTATTTTAGAATTTCAAAACATGTTTACCCTTATTTAGAAAATTTTTACTTTTTAAATGCGGATTATTTTACTAGTTTTTTTAAAAACAGTACTGTGTTATAAATATTTTAAAATCACTGTAAAAAAATTGCTATTTTATCACTGAATATTTTAAAGGTCATGACGTAATTCTTTTGCCACAGTTAATCTTGGGGATATTTGTTTCTTGAGTAGCGAAGAACAAATAATAAACTTTGTATGTCTTGTTTCAACTTTTAAGAGCTACGAGCCTTCGAGTGGTGATTTAGATACCTTCAAACTTTTAAATGAGATAAATATTGATAATAAGGAGAACATTATACTAAAAACTCGAGTATGTGGAATTGGAGACCACCGGCTGGGTATCCGTTTTGTTAACTAAACAGGTAGAGAATGGAGAGGAGCATATTACCAATGCCGGAGGGATAACATCATATCAACATTCGTGGAGCTAAGCTACTCAACTCATTTTGAGTTAATGGGTCGGTCCACTAAAACATGTCCCAAAGCCCGCCTCATTAGACCCCCGATTCAGGCCCCAAAGCCTGGTCCAGATCAGCCAAGCCATCGGTCCAGGCCAGGGCCAGGTACCGGGTCAGTCCGAACCGGCCCAGTCATCCCTATTCCCTATGATGGTGTAATATGTCAGTTATATACTATCTTCCGTTCTTTAATTCTTGCAATAATTTGACTGTAATTATATTTAATTATGTATTAATAAATATTATAAAGGTTGATGCTTTAGAAATTCACATTGATAGAAATTCTATAACATTTTATACGTAATAATTTGATTATGTATATTAGTAGAAAATCATGGTCAAAGTAAGATCTGTGAATAGTGTAAAAATAACAATGTTGCAAGAATTAAAGAACGGGTGAAGTATATTTAAATTTCATCCAGAAAATCTTCAGTAACTAATCACCAGTTTTTAACAACATAAAATTATAACCCAACTCAAGTTGATAATAACAATTTTCTCTATATATTAGTAGGGTCAAAATCTTTTTATTGCATAAAATATTTTTTGCCTACTCAAAGAAGTTACTAAGGGTGTCCCGGTGTCCCCCACCCTCAAGAAAATATACCTACCCAACTTGTAACTTGTGCCTAGGGATGGATCCAACCGGTTCGGCACGACACGGAACCAACCCGGCCCACGCACTGTGCGGGTCTGGATCAGCCCAGTTAGTGCTAACCGGGCCTGAGCTTTTACCCGGTTGGGGAGGGTTGTGGGGATCGAGCTCGGGCCCTGTATTTGTTGAACCGGCACAGGCAGTTCGGGACGGGCCTATGCTTTTTTTTTATTATTTTTTTGGTTTTTTCAAATTTTTTTGTTTTTCTTGGTTAGGACCGGGTGTTTTGGGGGGTGAGGTGAACGGGGGGTCAGGGGTTAATTAGAAAGCAAAAAAAATTAACTTGACCAAGTCCAGCCCAGCCCGGTTAGACCCGGACCTGATATCAACACGGGCCGGTTCCGGGCCCAACAATTTGAAAAAAAAGTCCACCCGAGCCTGGCCCAGAACCGGACCGACCCCGGTCCATCCCTACTTGTGCCCAATGCCTATCCCTCAGAACACAAATGCTAAAAATACCCCAAAATGTAGCCCATTTTTACGCCCACCCCCTAATGTGTAGTCATAAATGAGGCAATTCAGCATTGGGCTACCTGTTTTCTCTAATTTATACTTCTTCGTTGATTACTGCAGCATTGGGCTTAGATTATCAAACTAATGCAAATGATCCATATTCAGAGGCGTGTTAAGATCCAACCTCACCCAAACACTCACAAAAGGCGAGGCATTCCACCCAATTTCCATCAACAAGAGCCAGCCTTTTGGACATGCATCTAGCATCCGTTGGCTTGTGGACATTTTCTTTTCATTCAACTCCTGTAGTCAATTCATTCCACTTCTTTAGTTTCTCCAGCGCCAAACTAGGGAAATATGTCTCAGTGTCACGCACCAGTTTCCTCAGCACACAATAACCTTCACATAATGGGTTATAACTTATAACCAACGGAAGATTGTGAATCAGTGCCCAAAATCTGCTTTGTCTAGCAAACCTCCAACAGGTGTTCCACGGCATCCAAATGGGTATATCAAAAACTGCTCACAGGACATTCGACTCGTCTTATACGCTTTGGAGATTTTGAATTTATGACAGAACTAAGATGACCCAAAAGGCTGAAACTACATCGTTCAATGACACTTCAATCACCTAACTCATCAGATGCCAAATCATCTCCCTGGAATTACAACTGACCACACACTTGAATGGCCAATCAGAAAAACCATTCCGAGATCAACACCACCATAGTATCATCAAGAATCAGCGAGATTAAGCTGGGACCATCTTCCTGCTTAATATCCAAGTGGACTATCAGACTGAAAGGCATCTAAACAAAACGTATCTCAAGGACAGCACTAACACATACCAGAGCCTCAAGCCAGCCACATACAGCACTCGAAGCAAGCCGATAGAAGAATCAGAAATACCAAAGAAGCCAAAAAAAAGGAAAAGTTCCCCAAGGCAACACCATTAAACACTAGCCATATAGGTAGGGAGACTTGCTGATAATTGTGTTTATATGAATGCTTTTAAATGTAATCTAGCCAAAAACACATAGTATAGAGAACCAGATAGTACCATTTCCAATTCTAGCATCTCCACAGATGAAACTTCTCAGAAACTAAAGGAAAAGACCAATAAATTGAATTAATAATAACAAACTGCAAAGGACCAACATGGATTACTTGAGCTCAACAACCCATCCCATGTTATCCTCTGCAATCCCCATCTGGAGTCTAGTTAGTGATGAATACAATTGTTGTGACACCACACCAACCCCATTGCTTCCATAAGTCACCCTGCAGATTTATTTTTTCAGGCAGAAAGATAAAGAGAGATGTGAGAATATTACAACCTTGCCTACTCTACACTAGCTGTATTAAAACCAGTACAAAGGCACACACAGACAGATCAAAGTAAATCAAATAGATTAAAGTGGTTTTAGGATCATATCCTCTATACATTCAGAGACATACTCCCCAATTGTGACTAATTACTGTCTAAAACAACTATCACTCTAGAAATTTAATGCTATAGTTTTTAACAAATCTTCTCATTTAGCCATTAACTCCTCCTGCAATAAAATAAAACTATTAACATATTTAATTATTAAACTTAAAAGGGTAGAAGGGTCATATACTAAGACTCGAGTATGTATGCAAGTTTAAAATCATGTCCATTAACTTGGGGTAGCTGGAATAAATAATAGTCAAATAAACAAATTGTCCAATTAAAAACCCATAGTAATTCAATATATTAGACAGACAAAAAAAGGAATAGGATAAGAATGCTCACCGTTTCCCTAAATAGGTTATACTGCCAACGGGGGATACAACCACAGCTGTACCAGTACAGAACACTTCGTCAGCGTCAAGCAATTCATCTACGGACACAAATCGTTCTTCAACCTACAAACACGCAACATACACACAATAATTTTTATTGTAAAATGCAATACACCAGTTTTTCATTGTTGCAATCGTGTTTAGAGGTTCCCAAGCATGTGCACCACAACCCACACACAACAGCATTAATGATAACAAAGAAACCATATCGTATATTCAAACCAAGGTTTTTAAAACCTGACCAGTACAGGCACTGGTTCATGATTTTAATGGTCTAACCATCGGTGAACCACTAGTAAAGAAAAAAATAGTACTACCGCCATCCCAATTTAGTTAGCCATCTTTGACTTTTCCAGTCAAAGATGGTAAACTTTGACCAATTATTTTAACTAATGTATTTATGCAAAATTCAATAATTTTATACTTTTATGATAGTATTTTTAACAAAGAACATATTCATATAATTTTCATATTATGAATATTTTCTTTATATAAACATATAATCGGTCATTTCCATCATTTGCAATGGAGCCAAAGACTCACCATTTTTTGGCTTGGGAATATGATGAGATAAAGCAAAATGATTTACTAAACTGTCTACGCTTCTTTATTATGAAGCAGCAATCAGTCCATGCAATTCTCGACGCAATTTTCACTGTGTCATCCGGAAACAATCTCTTTGTGCTTTAGTACAGGGGTAAGACTATGAACATCCGACCCCCCTTACCCCACCGAAGGTGTGGGAGCCTTTGCGGCACTGGGGTAATGATGATGAAACATATAATCGGTCAACGTTAGAAGGCATTGACTTGAAAAGTCAAGTTTGGCTAACTAAAATGGGACGGAGGGAGTATATTAGATTATGCAATACAAAATAATGAAATAGCAATAACTAAATAGTTTTTAGAAATAACCATCGGACTGGCGGCCCGGCAGCATAACCGATCCGATCACATATAAACCCGCAAAGTTAGCGGAAACTGGAATAACCCGAAGACCCGCTTTGGCCCGGCCTAGCCCGGAACAGGTTGTAACCCGGCAAACCCGGAAGAATCCGGATACTCCACCTAATTAAAAAAATCTTGGCCGGGATTCGATCCTTCTTGTATCCAGAGAACTGCGGCCATGTAGAACAACTAACTACTGAAGCTTTTTGCTACGGAGTGTTCTTTTTGTGTATTAGTATCGGTTTTACAAGTTAAAATGTAGTTATTAAGTACTCCGTATTAACTATTACAATATAAATATAATGATAGGTATTATTATCGCTATTATTATACTATACGATTATATATATAACATTCAAATTATCAAATATAACTTAAAAATGTTTATACAATACTTTAAAGATTTTATAACAAGTGTAATTGTTCATATTTATTTTTGAAAAAGGTAACTGTATAGTTACATATTTTCTCTCAGAAGAAAATCAAACCTGAATATATTATAGATGTAAAAAATAAGATATCAAATAATATTGTTTATTCAAACAGGCCTAAAACTATATTTTGGAATATGATGAATATGTGAATATACTTCAATATTATATATCCAAAAATGCTTACTAAGTATTCAAATAAGAATACTTCAAGTACTCTTATTTAACACTATGTTAAAATATTCAAATATTTTAAGCCTAAAAATATCAAATAACATTTTGGAACATATAATAAAATTGCTTACAGATATTGTAATTCCTTTATTATAGTGATAATTATTTTTTAAATTATATATATATATATATCAATGCATGTTTATTAGTGAGGTAAAATTGCGTACATCTGACCCCCCTTACCCCACCATAGGTGGGAGCCCTACGGTGGGAGCCTTTGCGGCACTGGGTAATGAAGAAGAAGATCAAGGCATGTTTATTACTATAAAATTTTATATAAAGTTGACCTGGTTTTCCAGCATTGACCGGGTTGACCCACCAGGTCCAGGTTGACCCGTGACCCAGTCATTTGGACAGGCTTCTTCCCGGTCCGGTTTTTACAACATAGGGGCTAACCAGGCCGATTGAATGAAATGTTCCTGGTTCGACGGATAGCAATAACTATGATTTGACACAACAGTCTGAAGGAACAAACTATTGGATTTTTGCAAACATAAATCAAATTAACAGATATACATATCCAGTGATATGCAAGTGATCAAGAGTTCAAGACATATGAAGGGGGAAATGGAATTTTCCGGGAGCAAGTCAAATTGGTTGGGGGTAAAAAAAAGGTACCTTGAAACCTTGGCTGACAGCCAGATCAATAATGCTCTTCCGGGTTATGCCGGGCAGGATGGTCCCTTTTATTGCTGGAGTTACTATCATATTACCCTGAAAGAGGGGAGTGTGGAAAGGTACAGGTTAAACCAAAGAATTTATAAAGCTACTACTTTTTCACGTAATTCAATGTGATGAATCCAATTTAAAGAACTTCACAACAATTACATTGCAAGAAGAAACCTCCTAACGCTCCTTAATTATATATACCACCAAAGGTAAAAAAAACAAATGAAGCTTGCAACCCCTGTTCTTACTGTAGATTATATTTACCTTCACAACAAACACATTGCAAGAAGAAACCTCTTCCAGAAATTTGTTATGAACACTATCAAGGTACAAAACATCAGAATAGCCTTTCGCTTTAGCAGCACTCTGTGCCTTCAGCACCTATAAAATAAAAAAATAAGCTACTTTATTATACTAACCCAAGTGAATCTTGTAATTAGATAGTAAACTGTAATCATTATGCTTTTAAAAAGGACATACTGCAGCATAGTTTCCTATAGTCTTGACGCTTCCAGTACCTCCAGGGGATGCACGATGCATTTCAGTTTCAACCACCAGATTAATTGGTGCTAATCCTTCCTGCCGTTATCAACAACAACAACCAAGTCTAAGTCCCAATAGGGTTTGGGGTCAGCTTTTAAAATGGAAAAAAGAAAAACAAAATGTTTAAAGCCTAGTATATAAATCCAGATAGGTATAACAGTAGAAAATTAAGCATTATGAAGAAAAAATGAGTAATTAACAGAGCTCAGACAGACATTACCTTAAAGTAGTTACCCACAGGTGAGACGTAAATTAAAAAGGTATATTCTGGAGCGGGAGCAAGACCAAGTACAGATCCACTCCCCATAAGCAATGGTCTGATATACAGTGATCCTTTGCCAGGTGGTGGAATCTGAAACAAGTAATCAGACAAAATTGATCAAACTCGAACAGGTCATCAAATATAATTTGTAGAGCTGATTCCATGAGGCTATGTTTGGAACGCAAAAATTGATTGGAAATGCAGAGAATGCCTTAAGAAAATTAATTTTGTTTCCTTAATTTTACTTTGTAAAATAGAAAGGAAAATTAAATTTGACTAAAACTTTTAAAGTGTGAACCAATATTTATAATTCTTCTTGCTTCTATTTTTGAACAAGGCATAAAATTAAAAACATCGAGTCAAAATATAAATCATTTTGTTTCCCAAATTCTCTTTCATTTCAAATATTCCTAGCTTTTTCCGTGTTCCAAAAGGAACCCTAAAATATTGAAGGTAGGCTACCCATTTCTTATTGGCTAAGACAGTAGCTTTCACTGCATCGAGAAACTGCTCAACTGTCGGTGAAGGCATACACATACGCTCAGCCCCCATCTTCAAGCGCAAAGCATTTTCTTCAGGACGAAACAACAAAATGCTGCCATCGTCCTTTCTGTAGGCTTTTAATCCCTCAAACAAGCCCTACAAATATAAACACTAAGTAAATTACCTCACAAAGAAGTCTTAAGACTTTTTATAGTCTGAATTTTATGCTAGAGTAGTATGGCTGGTAAAAGAAATGGGGGGTTAAATAATAAACCTGGCCATAATTTAATATCCCTGCAGATGGGCTCAATTCGATGTTCCCAAATCGCTGTAATTCACCCTTAGTAAAGTTTTTACCTTGAGCACATTTCATGATATACATATAATCAGTGGGAATGAATCCAAATCCAAGGCTGTCCCAATCAATGCTTGCTAATTCAGTTGTGACATTGCTGTTACATTGGAAAACAAATAGACAACAGACAATTTAGCACTTCACCTAAACCTGACAAAATCGATTTTATTACTAGCAAGAATTCAGTGAATGGTTTTCACACCTATGTAAGCAAGTTTAGCCAAAAATGTTAAATTATTCTTCACTAATACAGTCGTTAATTGTACAGTTTTGCAATCTTTCTAAAATCTGTCAAAATTGAACTCAAGACCATAAAATGGAAAATAAATAAGTTTCATAGGTAAGAAGCACAAACCTCACCGGCGAGGCCACACGCAGAGTATTATTATTGTGAGAAACAAAATACGAATGCTTTTGAGGCTGAAAAAATATGACTAACAATTAAGACACTTGACTGCCCAAGGAGATACAGAAATTATACAAAAGTAAAATTTGTGTTACAAATGATGATACCTTGACAGGGAGAGGAGAAAATTGCCTTTTGCCAATAGGCTGAATGGGAAGACGAAGGAAGCAGGCTGAAGTCAGAGGGTAATGATAGTCATAACTGGGAGTGGGCTGAAGTCCTGCGAACAAGGTGGCGCTCTCCATTATCAGTAGGCTCCTTGAGCTTCAGAGCTTCCTTCCTGAAGAAGAGTTTACCAAATGAAGCCTAGGCAATTGGAGAAATAGAGAAATGACTTACTTCAAATATAAAAATATACTCCGTGCAAGTATCTAGGTTCATGAATGTATTCTTCTGCATTACAATTTATTTACAAATAATAAAAGTACATGATAAACCATCAAAACGAATACTTCCTTATACAAAAAAGTTCATACCAACATTATAACGAAAATGAGAAAGAGAAACTGTTCAAAGTGAAGTATCCTGTCATAACCAGCAATTCTACAAAATATTGTATGATTCATTTTTAGCAAATGTCGTTCCAAATACTATAAAGTACCAAACTTTGTATAACTTACTCACCTACTTACACATACACTGAATATTTAAGACATAAACGCTGTAAGCCTTCCTACTCGCTGGAGGTACACCGGTACTGAATATTTAAGACCCAAATTATATAAACCTACTCACCTGATTTGGCCAAGTTTCATGGGATGGACTGATGGAGTATCATTTAAAAATAAAAATAGTATAAACTTACCTGCTTCACAGCTTCAGGGGAAGTGAGCAGAGTCCGTAGACGGTTGACTCGTGTTGCACTGGTGGATGGTACAAACTGCGGGACTGGCGAACTGCGGGACTGGCGACTGGCGTGCTACGGTGGCGGCTGGAGGCCCTAGTCCTAGACGCTGGGCGACTGGGCCCCTGGAGAGGTCAGCGACTTGGCGTTGCAGATTTGCTTGCAGCCGTTGCTAGTTGCCGACGAACGCTTGTAGGCTTCTGGTGGCTTTGGAGAACTCTTCAATTGCAGGAAGGCTTGTACGCTTTATTCAGAATGGCTACACCTTAACTTTCTTTTTTTTTTTTGGACTTGGGCTAGATGTTTTAAGTTAATGAAAAAAAAAAGAAAAAGTAAAGGTAGATTTGTCACTTTATTCTTATTTACATACCTAAAGTAGAAAATGAAAAATCATTTTGGGACAATCAAAATAGAAAATTTTGTTAATTAAATTGGGACGGAAGGAGTATTAAATTTTATTTTTATTTTGCCTTCAACTTTTTAGGCCTCCCTTGGGCCGGCCGTGCATTATACTCTGTGTTGATTTGAGAGAAGAGAAGAGAAGTGACCATTCTTGAGCATTATACTCCGAATGTACGAAAAGTGTACACAAAAATGTGTACACCTAGCACAACTCTTATATTGATGTGCGTTACTTCTTTGAACGTAAAAACGGTAACACTCACGTGTCACCCCTATTTGGGACGGGTTGTTCCTAAAATCAATAAATTTATTTTTACATTTATTGAAATTAAATTGGAGTAAATGATTTAAATATGTGAAATCTCCGAAGTAAACATATTAATGTAAAAATATCAAAATATCTAAATAAAATTAATTTACCGTATTGAAATTTCCACAATCAATTTTGACAGTACCCGTTTTTAATATGACAATAATACTACGATAATTGGTAGTTGAAACTACTTTTCAAGCAGTGGCGGAGCCAGAAAAACACTCAGGGGGTCGAAACTCGACCTATATACAGAATGAAAATGGTGGATCGTTTTTAAACAATGTCCGAGTTGAATATTTCATATGCAGTTTAGATAAATAGGCACTCGTAACAATAAGATAGATTGTTTTTGCTCTGTTTCTAAGTCGTGCCACGTAAGTATTGAGTGAATTATACCCTGTTTTTAAAATTTGGGAAAATAATCTATAGTATGCATCAAATTTTGATGATTTTACGTTTATGTAGTGCTGATTTTCCAGAAGTCATAACTTTTTAGTCGTAATGAGTTACGGGGGCCATAATATATCAAATCGAAGATATCTGCGAGCTCTATACTCTCAAACTTTCAGCGGGGTAAACTGACCATACTGACCCCCCGGATCCGCCCTTGTTCAAGTATGACAATGAACTGTTTAACAATTGGTTGTTGACTGTTAGTTGTTGGCTGATAGTGTTATCTGATAGATGGCAGCAGTTTATGTTGACTACTTTGATTAACTGATAGTAATAGTGATTTCGAAAATGATGTTTGATTAAATAGATGTTTACAATTTGCTAAAACTTATTAAATGAATTTGAACGACATTAGTTTAATTTTTTATCGTACTACATATTGAGGTTAATGCCCCTACAGTCCGAGAGCCCAACATGTTCTCTCGTCCTTCGTCGGGTCATTAATATGGAGATGGTTATAAGTATGATGCAAATAAGAATGGAGGTAAAGTATATTCAGTTCTTATTTATGAGTATAGAACGCTTACAACACACTTATTGTAACGACCGTCCCCAAACGGTCATTACCATACTTAACATAAACAAGACTCAATATACAAAGCGGAATATTACAGAATACAAAGTCTCGTATGAAACTTTATTTCTTATATACATAAGAAAACTCCATAACTGAAATATCAAAGACCAACAACAATCACACTTAACATAAAGTCATCACACCTGATCAGGATTTTTAAACAAAACATAAAACAACTCATAAAAATGTCATAGTAAAACAACAAAACATGAGACACAACCAGGTCGTTTCCGTTAACCCATCCACAGCCTCGCCACCTGGCTCGAACATTCTCTCAGGCTTCCATTCTTCATTCATTACCTATACATGAGACACAAGAGAACAGAAGTCTCGTAAGCAAAATTTGCTTAGTAAGTCACCCTTACATCCACTAAAATAACGGAGTCTTAGCTAGCCATAATCAGATACATAAGCTAGAATACTCCACACATAGCATATTCACACACATATTCATATCATGTAAAGCATAACTTCACGTAACGAAATCTAGAAGATTTCCTCATTTATTATTCTTTCTTCCTATCTTGCTACTTGACTTAATGGGCATGTAGCTCGTGTTCTGGCCCCTCGCTAATGACCTTGGGTAGCTAGCCCGCAGCCATCAGAAGTAATCATGGGACTCCCCGCGGAAGGAGATCCCGCTCCGTTCAGCTCAGGTAATTACTTGGGGGAACGGCTACCTTAGAACATTTCTTATCATTCATTAGATATCATTATCATCACAACTTTCATTCATTGTTGGATTCCATATAAATCCAACCTAACCATAAACATAGAACTTGGATACCTTACACCGATAACTCAACAAGTTCTCCATCAACATCACCTATCAATATATATACATAACATGACATTCACATAATATCATACCATACAATTTCAAGTATTCGAGCCAACCTATCCAATTCGTAGGTAGCTAGACTTCCATTTCTTTTCATTTCAAACTATCATGTATAGGCGGTGATGACTTACCTGATTCGCGTGGAGTTTTTACCCTTGATCGTGCGTATAAAGCGTCCACGGGCAACGGTTCTTCGATTGAGCAACTATATATATTGTTTACATTTGATCAACAGAACCTCATGTTTTTAATCAAAACCTTAAAACTTAGGCATAAGGGGAATTCAACAAACAACCAGCTCCCGAACATGATAGACTTCTAAAACACCCAATCTCAACCGGTCAAATTTTCGGGTAACTAGCCAACCAACTCCCGATTGAACTTCATACTCAAGAGTCAACAATAACTAACTAATAATAATACTATCAAGAGTTCTACACATCTAATTAAAATCAGTTTATATATATCTATTTAGAATCCACCTATACCTAGTAAGAAATTTCCCCAAATTCTTTCATCAACTTAGTAAAATTTTGGAATAATTAGTTATACAAGAACAAATTGAAGTTTGTTAAATCCAGGCTAAACAACAACTTCAAAAAAATCTTACTATCAAGAAAATCCATTAATTTTCCTAGAATCAACCCAAAGTTCACTCAACCCTAGTTAAATCCCAAAACAAGAACTATGGATCAAATATAGAAGAATTCTTCATGTAAAATGTAAAAATCTTACCAAGTGATGATATTTGATGAAGAATATGTTTAATTTGAGTTTGAATCACCTTAGAAATGGTTTGAGATTGATTTGTAGAGAGAAGGACGAGCTGGGATCGATTTTGGGTTGAAAAGAGGGTTTTTTGCGCTTAAAAACATTTTTGACCGACACAGCCAAAACCGACAGAACCGGCGCCGGTTTGCCCCTGCCCGGCGCCGGTTTCCCTGCCATTCTAACACCCTAAAGTTTCTGTTTTGGACCGGCGCCGGTCTGGGTCCAACTGGCGCCGGTTTGAGGTCAATCGGGTGCCGAAAACGTCATTTTTCGCCCTAAACCGACCCCGATTGTTGCCGATCCCATCCTAGACCCCCAATGACCTTTTTAAACTATATTTTAAACACTCAAATACTATTTAACATGACAAATAACTTGATATACCATTACATTCAAAAATACAAATGATTATTACGGTGTAGTTTCATTGCTCATCGGATACCGTCGCCTGTCACGTTCAAACATAATACAAGCATATATGTTGAAATATCATTATCACAAAGTTAATGCTCACATGCTATCCCTACACTTCACACATATAGCACTCATACATAAGTTAAAACATGATCATATATAACATTAATTAATGCATAAGAAGTAGAAAAAGTACGGACGTTACACTTATAAGTCCTAACAATGCTCTAGCCTCTAAACTCATAAGTGCCCTGAAGGCTACAAAGAGAGTAAAGAGAGAGACTAAGATATTGAATGCAAGTTTGTCAACCATTTATAATGAATAAAGGTAAATATTTATACTATAAGATGGTGGGTGGGGTGACGTGGGGTGCGCTGATAGGATAATCGTCAAGCATAAAATCTATATGTATTTGGTGCATTATATGATCTTCCCGTCAAATCTAGCTCTCCCGCCAATGTCTTGATGGTGCATATCCAATAGCAAGAAAAGACTGCAAGTACGAGTCTCATTTGAGCTAATTCATCCCATGCAAGGAACGGTCTCCGCTTGGATAAAAAGTCCAAACGTCCAGCTAGCGTCCCGAGCGGGATTACCATGGGGTTTTTAGGTTGGTTGGGCCCGTGAGCGTTACTTAGGCCACCATTGTGTTGGGCTTAGTAACCAACACTAAATTTACAAATATCATATGAAATTATAATTATCATTACTCTAATCATACAACAACTTAAAACACTTTATTAAAAAATTAAAATTGTTAATGCAACTAATAATTGCTTATAGAAATCGATGTTAGCATCAAAAGCACTTCTCGCTGCCTTCATTTTTCTATCATCCCATTCAAAATGGAGAAGTATATAGCGACAACGTGGCATTAGCCTCATGATCCTCCGCAAATTATATTGTGGGATCGGTCCACCATGCGTATGGTGTGTCGATCCCACTATTAGCTATTGAACGACACTTTCTTTTCCCTCGAGCATCTATCTCATTTTTCCTTTGCTTCTTCTTTTTTATTTTTCTTTTTTTCATGAATTCTTTTCTTCTTCTCCATCAAATACTAAAAATTTAATTGTAATTTTACTTTTCTTTATCTTCAACTTAAATTATAACTCAATTTTGTTATTCAATTCATAACAACAAAATAATATATTACATTTCATATTCATGCACTATTTTATTTTTTTAATATTTTTTATATTCATAAACTTTTTTTGTAATATCTATTTTATATTCATACACTATTTTCTACAATATATATTTTATCTCTTTTATAAGTTTTTAGTGTTTTAAGACATTGAGTTTGTTTATTTCAATTAACATTTGATAAAACAGGTGATTACATTTTCATGTGTCCGATTTACATTTCATATGTGCGAATTACATTTATACATGATTCCTTGAGTTATATTTGATAATACATGGAGTTACATCTACTTATGCGAGTTACATCTTTTTATGCACAAGTTACATCTAATTATGCGTGAATTATAACTAATTATTTTTTATTTTTACTTTTTTTTATCTTTAACTAATTAAATTACAACTGAATTTTCTTTACCAATTTGTTTTAAAATTTTAATAACCCACATAAAATAAGTATATTGTATTTCATAATCATACACTATTTTTTTTTTCTTCATCTTAAATTACTACCGAATTTATTTTTTGTGTATTTTTTTACATTTATACATTTTTTGCAAATATTGTTCATATTCATACCATTTTTCTATAATAAACTTCTTATTTCTTTTATATTTGTAGTGTTTTAAAGACATTAAGTTTGTTTATTTCGATTTAAATTTGATAAAATATGAGATGTCATTCTTCATATGTGTGAGTTATGTTTATAGACATTATAAGAAGTTAGATTTGATAGTATATACTACCTCCGTTCCCATTTTAACTTCCAAATGGGTTTGGCACAAAGTTTAAGATAGTGGATATTGTGTGGTGGAGAGTTGTGTAGAGGAGAGAGAAATGTGTAAGAAATGTTGTGAACCACAAATTTTTTACCAAAAAGGGAAAGTGAAAGTTTTAATTGAAACGGACGAAAAAGGAAAGTTGGAAGTTTATTTAGGAACGGAGGGAGTACATCTTCTTATATACAAGTTATAGACATTATAAGAAGTTAGATTTGATAGTTACATCTTCTTATATACAAGTTACATCTTTTTTTGTGTGAGTTACATCTTTCGATATGTGAGTTACATGTTTTTATCATTTTATGCACCAGTTACATTTGGGTTTTCCTCAACAAGTTGCATTTTGCATACACCACCTAAGTTAGATTTTTCATCAATGCGGATTACATTTTTATAACACGAATTACACCACAACATA